ACATGGCACTGGTCCATCATTTTTATTATGTTTACAAAATGATCATTTTTATACAGAATATGTCAATTACAGTAGAGTTGTTTTTTTGTTGTGACTTCTTCATTTGCAGCTATGTTTTATTATTGTTTTAGTTTTTGGTGAAGCCCAAGGCAATGCAATATAAGCAGATGTATAGGAACTGTCAGAAGTCAGATTTTGAAATATATTATTTTACAACTTAATACATCACTGGTAATCTTATAAATTAAAACTTGAAATCAGAACCAACCCAAGGCTTCAAAGTTATTGGTTAGATTTGTGCACAACAAGGAGTTTCATTACAGCACCTGTTTTCTTTCTTAAGTCCAAATCCTGGTATGGATAGATACATTTAGAGGAAATTATATTAAAAAAATTAAATAAGAAATTTTGAATACATTTCAATATTATGTAATTTGGGGGAATCTGCAAAGATACCTAAAGATGATGGATGCCTTTTTTTTTTTTTTTTTTTACTCAGTTGAAGAAATTCATTTCATTTTTTTTATGAAATAAAAAGTTGAAAAGAATTACATTTAAGTAGATTGTTAATAAGTAAAACGTCACATAATGCATTCGTTGTAAACAAAAGAACTCCCTATGTAAGCGAATATGTTTATTTAAATTCAAGTATGTCTTGCACATTAGCCAATAAAAGGTTCCGAGCGCTGCTCAGAATTCCTGGGATCGTGAACGCAGCAGTCCACCCCAGCTGAACGGTGACTGTACACATTCAAGATGGCTTCTGCGATGGACGACGAGTTTGAAGACGCACCTGATGTCGAGCCTTTAGAGCCAACTCTGAAGAATATAATCGAGCAAAAATCTCTGAAATGGATCTTCGTTGGCGGGAAAGGTGGTGTCGGTAAAACAACATGTAGGTAAGTCAACGGAGAAGCTCTTAGCGACTTGAGTTAGCTGAAAAAGCTATCTGAAGCTAGCTGTTGATTAACGTAGACTTTGGGTATTTTTTTTATTTTTATCTAAGGTATGTCAGTTTTATCGATGTGGACATTTAAGTTTATTTAAAAAAAATCCTCTCTCTACTTTATTGCGATTAAGTTGGTGGTAATTATCAAATGCCAGGTTGTTAAATCCCATCTAGCACAGTCAGCAGCTAAAGTTAGCAAGCTGGAATAATTTAACGGTCTCCCTTCTTTTAAGCATAACCTTGGTAATCGTTTGCGTCTTTTCCTCTCTTTAATCGGGAATTGTAAGATGTAAGTTTTGTTTACGAGCATTTTAAATTCAGTGGTCAACCATGTGATCCAAGAAGCAGCAAGGTTAGCTTTAGCCTTCGAGCTAAACATGTCAAAGAATGACAGCTGCATGTCTGAAACACACCTTCCTTTATTTGACATTCAAACTGGGCTGTCTCCCCTAAAATTAAAGTCGTTTATTTTTCTACATTATTTTATTCAGATTGTAAAGGTTTTTTAAAACATAAAATTAAAAGCCAAAAAAGCTAAACAGAACTATTAACTATCCATAGAGCTGCATGCTATCATGAAACCATATTAAATATATAGATATAGATATAATGAGTAAACAGATCACTGCTTGTCTAACCAGCTGGGGATTCAATGGGAAGCCTGTTTAGCCACTGAAACACAGCATCTCAATAAGATGGTTTTATGGAAAAACTTCCTTCAGGGAAATTTCTGTTTGGCAGCATGCAAAATGTCAACTTTCTTGCAGAAGTTCAGCCCCCTGAAAATAATTTTGTGCTGAATTAAGCAATAAGCCAGTATGTATTGCACAGTAACAACTTTCAGGATCAAGCCACATCTCTGCAATATGGATATTGCATATGACAGGTTTCTAGTATATCATGCATCTCTGATCTATACTGTTTAATTTTGACAGCTCAGTTTAAAAGTATTAGATTTTTATCTTGATTCACAAAATGTAGAGAATAAGTGTCTGACAGATCTTCTTTCATCCTTAGCTGTAGCTTAGCCGTCCAGCTGGCTGCTGTCAGGGAGAGCGTCCTCATCATATCCACAGATCCTGCCCATAACATCTCTGATGCTTTTGACCAGAAATTCTCAAAGGTGCCTACTAAAGTCAAGGGCTATGACAACCTGTTTGCCATGGTGAGTTTTTCAATCGAGAGACCTCTAACATGTCAGGATGTGGATCAGTAGAATATGTAGCGAGAGTCTGCAACCTTTACAATCCAAATGGCTATATTTGCATTCAGTCCGGCTTAATAAAACTTGTTTAGTCGTAATAACCTTTTTAAACATGAAAACTCAACAACAGTTTTTGAGTATCTACTAAAGGGACTTAGAAAAGGGACTTAAAAAAATGAGGAAAAAACTACACTTTTGCAAAAAGGGGATAAATATATTTCCTTGTGTAAGATCTTGATGTTTTTGGCAAATTATGAGAAAAACAGTTTCCAACTTAAAGAAAAAAAACCAAACGACTTGCATACTTCTGGTGTCATTTCTCTTGGAAATTCAGTGCAGTAATTAAATGGATGGATTAAATGCATTCCTTATATCTACCTAATTTCTAAAACTATTTGGTGGGTATGATCTTTAGCCAGAGTTATGATGGAACATTGTGGAAAGACCAAAGAGCCATTTGTGCCTCTTTGGTTGTGGTCCAGATTTTTAGTGCAACAGTTAATTCAATGTTGTATTTTTTTTTTTTTCTAAGTTCTTTGATGAAATAAAAACAATCTGAGGAATTTCAACTGATAGTGGCTCAATGATGCAGAGAACTTTAACCACAATCATCAGTTTAGTTATTTAAGATGTTTAAAGAATCAACTTAACGTCCTGCTTACACAGGAGGAAGCTAGTGTTTTTATGTAGTTTAATTTAAAGACTCTCAAGCTTATTTCTTCATTTTTGTTGTGATCTATGATCATTTTGCAAAAGCATCTCATCTGATCCAGTGTTTGGAAAACGAATATAGCCACGAAGAAACCACAGAGTTTATTTATCTTGTTTTTTTTGGAGGGCTTTTGGCATTAGTTCGGAATCACAAGGACACTTTACTCTGCATGTGAGCTTCACAAGCCCCATCCTTAACTAAATGGAATCACTGCAAGGCAGAAGAAAAACAGATAATCTGTAAACTTTGTCCTGTATGGTTGTTTTAAACAGGAGATTGACCCGAGCCTGGGAGTGGCAGAACTGCCTGATGAATTCTTTGAGGAGGACAACATGCTGAGTATGGGCAAGAAAATGATGCAGGAAGCTATGAGTGCTTTCCCTGGCATTGACGAGGCCATGAGCTATGCAGAGGTCATGAGGTGAGGCAATTGACCACATTCTTTTGTTGTTTTAGCTTTAGTACAACTGTCTTTCTAAAGAAGTGTTAGCATAAAGTGGCTGATTACCCATCTGACAGGTTAGTGAAAGGAATGAACTTCTCAGTGGTGGTGTTTGACACTGCTCCCACTGGCCACACACTGCGTCTGCTCAACTTCCCAACCATCGTGGAACGAGGGCTGGGTCGCCTCATGAAAATTAAGAACCAGATCAGCCCCTTCATCTCTCAGGTGAGGAGGGATCTGTTGACCTGTTTGTACAATCAAGGTTTAGATAACTGTGAGAGAACTGTGAAGGAGCCTTTTATTGGATAATTTTTTTAATTCCTAGATGTGTAACATGCTTGGTCTGGGAGACATGAATGCAGACCAACTGGCATCCAAACTGGAGGAGACGCTGCCAGTCATTCGCTCCGTTAGTGAGCAGTTCAAAGACCCTGTGAGTATGAAATGTGTCACAGTACTTGCGTTTTTCCATCAGATTGTACAAATTGTTACTACAAAAACTCACTTTTCCATAAAGTTTTCTAATCTTCGATCGGGTGGGTTTTTGGTCGTATCAAAAATCTTATGTTTAGCAAAACTGCGATGGAAACACTTTTTTTTCCCCCACATGCGTCATGTGATCTACAGCTAGATCTTACTGACTTGTAAAATGGCAGAGGAAGATGATGATGGGACGACATATTTCGATTGATGAGGACAATATTTACACCCGTCCCTGACATGTTTTTATCGAATGAACAAACTCATACACATGCTGTCTTGTTTTTTTTTCATATAACTTAAATGTCACAGTGGCAAAATTGCATTATCAAAAGCAGAATATCAACATCATTTTAGATGTGATTAGATGAGCTTTATTGATCTTGCAGCGGAGAAATTCACTCGTCACATATTGGCATAGAAGTTACAGAAGGTGCAAACAGGGAGGAAAAATGGTGCATTAAGAATAAACAATATATATACAGTATATACAGTATATCAAGATAAATAGGATTAAGTTGCAAGTGTACATGTATCGCACACAATGAAAAACAAATTAAAAATGAGAAATAAAAAAAAATAAGAAATAAAAATATGTACAATCCGGATGCTCACAGTTGTAATGGAAACACAACTAGTGGCACTCTGAACATGTAATATTGTTGCCATGCAGCTATTTTTGTAATTGGTTGTTTTCCCTAAACTTGGCCATCTTTGATGTTTGCTAAGTAAAACCAGGAGTGATCAGTGCAGATTGTTTTCGCTTATTTCAAGAACAATGCACATCTCGCACAACGTTGTGCCACACCTCTTTGTTAACCAAACAGCTTTACTTTGGACGTGTCGTGACTTTGTGTGCATGTGCTAGGTCATTTTGGAGTATTTTTCCCCCAATAAACTTAAACAGAACAGTCGAAGAACATCACAGTTGTGCAGGTGTCAGTTTCACGAAGCAGGTTTACAGAAAACTTGTTTTCTAAACCTGAAAACAGGGAAACTCTGACTTTTCTGTTTTACAAAGAAATTTTATTCATCCTCTGTTTCAGTCNCTTTAACCACAATCATCAGTTTAGTTATTTAAGATGTTTAAAGAATCAACTTAACGTCCTGCTTACACAGGAGGAAGCTAGTGTTTTTATGTAGTTTAATTTAAAGACTCTCAAGCTTATTTCTTCATTTTTGTTGTGATCTATGATCATTTTGCAAAAGCATCTCATCTGATCCAGCGTTTGGAAAACGAATACAGCCATGAAGAAACCACAGAGTTTATTTATCTTGTTTTTTTTGGAGGGCTTTTGGCATTAGTTCGGAATCACAAGGACACTTTACTCTGCATGTGAGCTTCACAAGCCCCATCCTTAACTAAATGGAATCACTGCAAGGCAGAAGAAAAACAGATAATCTGTAAACTTTGTCCTGTATGGTTGTTTTAAACAGGAGATTGACCCGAGCCTGGGAGTGGCAGAACTGCCTGATGAATTCTTTGAGGAGGACAACATGCTGAGTATGGGCAAGAAAATGATGCAGGAAGCTATGAGTGCTTTCCCTGGCATTGACGAGGCCATGAGCTATGCAGAGGTCATGAGGTGAGGCAATTGACCACATTCTTTTGTTGTTTTAGCTTTAGTACAACTGTCTTTCTAAAGAAGTGTTAGCATAAAGTGGCTGATTACCCATCTGACAGGTTAGTGAAAGGAATGAACTTCTCAGTGGTGGTGTTTGACACTGCTCCCACTGGCCACACACTGCGTCTGCTCAACTTCCCAACCATCGTGGAACGAGGGCTGGGTCGCCTCATGAAAATTAAGAACCAGATCAGCCCCTTCATCTCTCAGGTGAGGAGGGATCTGTTGACCTGTTTGTACCATCAAGGTTTAGATAACTGTGAGAGAACTGTGAAGGAGCCTTTTATTGGATTAATTTTTTAATTCCTAGATGTGTAACATGCTTGGTCTGGGAGACATGAATGCAGACCAACTGGCATCCAAACTGGAGGAGACGCTGCCAGTCATTCGCTCCGTTAGTGAGCAGTTCAAAGACCCTGTGAGTATGAAATGTGTCACAGTACTTGCGTTTTTCCATCAGATTGTACAAATTGTTACTACAAAAACTCACTTTTCCATAAAGTTTTCTAATCTTCGATCGGGTGGGTTTTTGGTCGTATCAAAAATCTTATGTTTAGCAAAACTGCGATGGAAACACTTTTTTTTCCCCCACATGCGTCATGTGATCTACAGCTAGATCTTACTGACTTGTAAAATGGCAGAGGAAGATGATGATGGGACGACATATTTCGATTGATGAGGACAATATTTACACCCGTCCCTGACATGTTTTTATCGAATGAACAAACTCATACACATGCTGTCTTGTTTTTTTTTCATATAACTTAAATGTCACAGTGGCAAAATTGCATTATCAAAAGCAGAATATCAACATCATTTTAGATGTGATTAGATGAGCTTTATTGATCTTGCAGCGGAGAAATTCACTCGTCACATATTGGCATTGAAGTTACTGAAGGTGCAAACAGGGAGGAAAAATGGTGCATTAAGAATAAACAATATATATACAGTATATACAGTATATCAAGATAAATAGGATTAAGTTGCAAGTGTACATGTATCGCACACAATGAAAAACAAATTAAAAATGAGAAATAAAAAAAAATAAGAAATAAAAATATGTACAATCCGGATGCTCACAGTTGTAATGGAAACACAACTAGTGGCACTCTGAACATGTAATATTGTTGCCATGCAGCTATTTTTATAATTGGTTGTTTTCCCTAAACTTGGCCATCTTTGATGTTTGCTAAGTAAAACCAGGAGTGATCAGCGCAGATTGTTTTCGCTTATTTCAAGAACAATGCACATCTCGCACAACGTTGTGCCACACCTCTTTGTTAACCAAACAGCTTTACTTTGGACGTGTCGTGACTTTGTGTGCATGTGCTAGGTCATTTTGGAGTATTTTTCCCCCAATAAACTTAAACAGAACAGTCGAAGAACATCACAGTTGTGCAGGTGTCAGTTTCACGAAGCAGGTTTACAGAAAACTTGTTTTCTAAACCTGAAAACAGGGAAACTCTGACTTTTCTGTTTTACAAAGAAATTTTATTCATCCTCTGTTTCAGTCGCTGTAGTAACCTTCTCCTCAGAGCTAACCTGGTCGGTAGCAGGTTTTCTTCAGTAAACTCGAAGTGTCCGCTGTCTCGGCTCTCCTTACAGCCAATCATGCTGTTTTATTTCCTGATTTACAAAGATTTTTGTCGTAGTTTTGTGCATTAAAAAAATAAAAAATAAACAAAAAAAATCACTAGGTCAATTACACATTAGAATTTAAAAACAAACATTGCATGTCCGTTTGAGGATCTATCTTATTGAAGGACGATCGGTACTTTTTTCACAGAGAATTAAATATTTATAGGGAGAGGATTCTACAACTCAGTTGACAGGGCATGAGATTACTTGTTTTTGGTGTGTTTAATATTTGTGAGATGCAGATAATTTTATTTTTATCAGTTATAGTTACAGTACATGAAGAACTTCTGAAATTATTTTTTGGGTTACACATAAATAGATTCATCTATTCTGCTGGGGAAAAGGAATTACTTTAGGGTTAGGATTAGGATTCACTCAGTGATAACAACCTAATGAGCCTACTGGCACAGTCTGAAGCCAGTCTATGGGACTGATAGCCGCTAATAACCACCATTTATTGGGATGATAACATCTGAAACGCGGCTGCAAACAGCCATTTAGTATTTACTGTGTAAAAGACTGAATCAACATGAGGGACCCTGAGATTATGCACAGGCTCTGTATTAGAACATTTTTATTCTTCATCCTCGCCTGCTGCCAGAAGATTTCACCTAAATAGATTCATTGATCTACTACCATTCAAGAAATAATCCCGAAATATTATCGTGGTCACAACAGGCTACGGCAAGCTGTTTTTAATGTACTAGTTCTACTTAATATGTATTTCTGATATCTGAAAAAATATTTATAAATGACCATTTCAAACAAAATGACATTCTCCTCTGAAATTAATTTCAGATCTCCATATTCCTTATATTACTGGTCATGATTTGTATTATTTTAACTATGAAAATATGTATTTCAGATTACATAAATACACATTCAGTCAAGCTGAAGGCCAGTTCAAACATGTAAACATTTCTAGATATATAAAACATAATTCTTACTAGTATAATTTTGTTTTTACTTTCTAAAATTCAGTTTCTGTCTAGGAGTGATTTTTATTAGGAAGGATGTTATTTTAGTGATCTACAAATGGAACAACAGAGAGGAGTGCTTTTAATAAATGTAAAAACGGCCTACCATAGTCCACATCATATAAACGTTCCTCGAGCAACAATCTTCTCCTTCAGCATCTTCCTCCCCTTTGTAGCTTTAGCGCTGTTTCTGTCTTTAAAACACATTCTCCTTTTTTATTTTATTTTCTGCATTAAAACTGTAGTTCTAGTGGGGTGAAATAGGCACTTCCTGTTGTCACAGTAACTCGTCGAATTGGTACTCCACTGATAATGGCTTTCCATAGTATTTGCACACGCTTAAGTCTGAGTGGACCTAGTTAGAATTTATTGAACTAACTGATAGCAGCCATGGTGAAACTGAACACTCAGAGTTCCTGAATTTAGACTAAATCAATTTACATTTTTTAAACCTGCTCCATGAAACAGACCCCAGAAGGAGCAGCTGTTTGAGATGAAAAGTAGGTTTGAAAGCAGATCTCTGGTCTCGGTGGTTAGAGTGGAATAATTGGTGTATTTCTTTAAAAGTATCTGACTGTTCTGTGTTGCCCTTTACAGAGGCAGTTGTCTCGTATCTGTAATCCTCTTGGTTTACCTTTATAAAGGTTGCTAAGGTCAAATAAACATTTCAATACCCCTTGCTTATATCTCTGTCCTTTTTTTACTTTGTCCAATCTTTTCTCCCATTCTGTCCTTTTGTTCTTCAACAAGGATGCGTTCAGGAATAATTTTTTTTTTTAAATACAAAGAACAGTACATTTGTCCAAGTATAGGATTGTACATTTTTTACCTGTGAATGTACCTCAATAAAAGGTATATCTTCATTTCTTAAGTAGACTTTTTTCCTACTTGGAAAAGGTTAAATAATCTTCACCTAGTGCACAAACTTTTTTTTTTTTAAACAAATGAATAAAGTTTCTGTTTTACACTAACAGTGTTTTGTTTTTCTCTAACTCCCTTGTCCCTGTTTTCCAGGAACAGACCACCTTCATCTGTGTGTGCATCGCAGAGTTCCTGTCGCTCTATGAGACGGAGCGGCTGATTCAGGAACTAGCCAAGTGTCGCATCGACACGCATAACATCATCGTTAACCAGCTGGTTTTCCCTGAGGCAGAGAAGCCTTGTAAAATGTGTGAAGCTCGTCACAAAATTCAGTCCAAATATTTAGACCAGGTACAGCTGTTCTTTCTCTATTTTTTTCTAAGCCTGTATGTGGAACTTTGCATGTCAATCTTTAGGTTCCTCATGTATTCATCCTATCGTCTTCCTACAGATGGAGGATCTTTACGAAGATTTCCACATAGTTAAGTTACCTCTACTGCCTCATGAAGTACGAGGAGCTGACAAGGTCAACACATTCTCCAAGCAGCTTCTGGAACCATACAAACCTCCAAACAAGTGAATTCCCACTTGTAGGACCTCATACCCCCCACCACCCCCCCGTCTGTAGACAAAATACTTCAACAGTCTAAACGCGCCTACTCTATTTTCCCACCATAACAGCCTCCTAATGATCCACGGTGTCCATCGAGGCAGAACATCACTACCCACACTCTAACACACACAGACTGCTGTACTGGGAGATGAGACGCTGCATATAAACAGTCTAACTCTTTAAGTTTATGTGTTCATATCCTTAGTGGCAGTGGTTCTAGTCTTACTGCATTCAGCCCGGTCTAAACAGAAAACTTTTATCCTCTGGCCGTATTTATTCGGCTCCAGCTTCAGATGGTGTGATGTCAGCACCTCCTTTTGTCTCTGATTTGGCTCCTGTCCCCCCCCCTCGTATTTGAGGATATCCCTGAAATTTACGACTGTCTTCTTCATCTCTGCATATTTAATCTCATCTAAATCACTATAACTGCAGAAAAAGCCAGGATGCTGGTTTTAGATCTTTAACATTGTTTTAATTTCAGTTAAAGCCTAAAAATGCTTAATTTGCTGTTTGTTCAGTTTTTGGTTATTCAAAGTTGAGTTTAAGATTTAAATCCATGTTGAAGACCAAAGTGGAACATTTTAGTTAGTAAAGCTGAAAGTGTCTCCAGCTTCTCAAGATACTTCTTAAACATTGCTTAAACTTTATGGGATCACTGAGGAAGGGGATCATTATTCTGATATTTACAATATAAACTGATTGTGTCACAGTGACGTTTTGAGTTGATTGTATGAACCTTTGCTGTTGTGAATGAAATCCATCCTCTGGTTTGATTAACACTTCGCCAACAGGAACAAACATGGTGTTTAAAAGGTCAATATTTCTGACGGGGTTTCATATCTTTTCTCTGTCGATGAATGCTTCAAGAATCTGTTTTCTATAGGTTTTATTTAAATTATTTTCCAAATTGTGAATTAAAACAAACTTTCCTCAGCTAAGAAACGTTTTTTTGTGTCCTTGTTCCAGATAAATCATCTTTTGGGGAGGTAACAATTGTTTTAAGCAACTTTTAATTACATATCAGATTAATGAGGAGGTTGTTTTAAAGGGTGAATAAGTAAGATTGCCACACTTTTCAGGTAAATTTCCTGCTTCTCCATAGTTAAGCTCAGTGTTTTGTCACATAAGAGATTGAATATGGTTTTAAATTTAGAAAATGCTAAAATACATGCAAATATAACTGAAATCGTTGCAAGTTTGTTTCTGGAACATTCCAGATAAGTTTGTAACTTCATAACCATGCTTGAAGTTTATTCTCATTTTACTGAGCACCAATGTTTGCATGGTCCGCTTGCTGCTGACTTCTAATTCCTTGCTTGTCCCGCTCGGCCCTGTGCGCTGCGGCCTGTCGCTTGTGGTCCATCACAGAGCATCACTCTCCCAGTTGGGGTCCGCGCTAACGAGCCACCGCCTCCTCCTTTGTTTTTTGGAGGGGATTTAGCCTGGGGCGCGCTGACCACTGGACACGGCCATGGATTATAACCATGCAGCCAACAAGGGTTAACTGGGCAGAACCCAGGAGATACCAGGGTTTTGTTTTGCGTTGAGTTGAGCAGGGTGTAGGGAAGAAGACGCTTCTCCAGTGGGGCCAATTACGCTTTGAGATGTGCTGAAGATAGCGGGACGAAGCACCACTGAGAGGTAGGATTGCATTTAGTGCCTCAGAATCCCATCCAACTAGGGGCTTATTTATTTGTGAGGTTTGAGGAGGTCTTGATGTTAATGCACTATTTATGTCCAGAATAAAATGTTTAATTTCTCTCTTATTAAGGTTAAATTCTCTTTTGGAAAGACTGATTAATGCATGTATGAAATGGTGTATAGTGTATCTGTTTTGACTTATCAGAAATAGTTACCCTTTTTTACCAGTCCTTTGCATTGTCATTAAAACACTGAAGTTCAAAAGTAGAAGGCCTGAGGGCTGCAAAATATGTAATCAATGAAAAACAAAAGAAATGGCGGAGGAAACTAGGATCCAAGAAGGAGGCGAGAAATGCAACCACATGTTTGCATTTATCACAAATAAGGAGGTATGTGAAGGACAGAAAGTCTGGGATAGAAGATGGGGAAAGGAGAAAGGGTTAGGACAAGTAAATGTACAACTGCACACCGAAGGGAGATGGGAAAGGTGGCATTAAAGAAAAAATTCATATTCAAATTTTCTTTCTCTATACAATTTCTGACCTGGAAAATATTAAAACCAAAATTCCATATTTTCCTGACTGCATTGGAACTAGGATAACGGGTTAAACTGATTCAGTAAACAACTTTCTATTTTCCTTTGCACAGCACTTTCACTCTGTAAACCTGGAAGCCTTGGCTACCAATGACGGTCACCTACACGGCCAGAGTAGCAAATGCTCGCTTCTGTGGCTTTTCCAAATTGCTCTTGGCTTGGAAAGGCAGCATCTACAAGGTGCTTTACAAGGAGTTCCTGGCTTTCTTTGCCATGTATACAGCCATCAGCATCACTTACAGGTGAGGCTTGAACTGCTGCATTCACTACTTTACATACTCATCAAAAAAGCAACTTTCATGCTGAATTTGTGGCTTCCAATGCTTTATTTTTCATGTTCTTTTTAAACGAACAATTAACTGGCATAAGTGATTCTCTGATCAGAACTTTACATGCAGACTGTGACATAGTTTGGTTGAGGGTCAGCAAGGTGAACAAAAAAAAAAAAAACGGCATCAGCCACATTCCAGATTCCTCTGAGGATTTTTATTTGGCACTTTTCACTCTGAGAACCATCTCCCTGAGCTTCCAAGAACTTGTATAACCAGTTGGCAAGACACAATTAAAAAGGTAGAAAAAAAAAGGGAAACAGAAACAAGAATAAAATGATCTAATTTACAAACTCATCTACATAATGAAATAGTCTGCAAAATAAACATTTTGATACAAGATAACTCAAAAAGTTACTTTATAGAAAAACAAAAGCATTATTCCAAAGGAAACCCTCTAAATGGTAAAACCCAGCAATGCAGTTGCTTAGAGGCCCCGTCACTGACACGTGGTAGGCCCCCATTCAATTGTGGACAAGGACGTTTCTTTGCAGATGAAATGGTACGAAAAATTCCTCTTAAACCCACCTGATACGAGTGTGACTGACTAGACCTTATTTATACCCCAACAAATGGCAGATTTCAACAGGATGGTGAGCTGTTTAAACACCACACCAAGGGCAAAGCACACAGTGGTACTTTTAATTACTATGTTAATAACTGTGTATAGTTCATTAGACGGTTGGTAAAAAAATACACTCATATACGTTTCAAACCGTAATAAAGATCTTAAAATAACAATGTATTTGAGTATTTTATTTTTTACACTAGGACTTGAAATTATGGATAATCCAGAGCGTTGATTAAAAACACAACCGTTACGTACAATGTGTTAGCGACGATAGATATAAAAAAAACAAAGATACTTAAGCAGATTCTAGAAAAGAAAAAGGAAAGAAGAGCTGCTGGAAGTAGCTACTTCATATGGGGCCCACCCAGATGCTGCTGCTTACGGGCCTATGGTTGTGCTGTTATGCCATCGCTGCAACATAATGTCAACACAAGCAATCCCAGGATAGTAAGTGAAGCAAAGTTGCAAACTAATGTTTAAATTTAAACATTGCGAAACAGTAAAAAAAATAAGGGAAGTGGTGAAGACAAACTGAACCACTGACCCTTAATCTGTAAAAGCTAATCAAAGCTTAGAGACATAGACTAATAATATCTAAGTAGCTCAGTTAAGATACAAGCAGGACACATTTAAACTAAAACAGTAGGTTTCCAGATATCAAGAGCCAAAACTGTGACTCTAAGCTTTTAAAAATAAAACAACAATCTTTTAGGATTCCTGTATCAAGTGGAGTTAAAATATTAAAGGCTTATTAATTAAACTTATTAATTAGTGAGAGAATGAAGTGGAGGCTGAATAGATGACTTGTTGTGGATGCTGCACTGGTTTATTCTGGTGTAGAGAAAGCTAAATCAAAAGGAGAAGCTTTTGATTTATTGGTCGGCCGTTTCAACTCTTCGCTATGGTTGTAATATATGGCCATAATCGAAATGTGGAGATAAGGGATACAAACTGATGAAATGGCCACATGCCCTCTCCATCCTGCTGGGGCTCAGAGAAGAGAAGTCAGATGGCATGAAGGTCATCTGCTGGCCCTTTTACCTGGAAGACCAGAGTATAATATCTCTTGAGTAGCTGAAAACAGTTATTTTTTTTCTTGAGTTAAGCAGATTAGGTAGACACTTTGCCAATGGAATAAGACAATTTATGTTCAAAATAAAAAAAAAATACTGCTGTCTCTTATTTCAATTGCATAATATTTATCTTATTTTAAGGGTAAAAACGCTCATTCTATTGGCAGGTCATCTAATTTTCCCACTCAAATCAAGGGTAAATATACTAATTTGAGGAACATTTTACTCATGTTTTAGAATGGTTTGCAGTGTGGAACGTCCAAGCCTAGAAACACTGTATTAACTGTTAGTCATGCAGCACTTTCTGTGTTTTTTGCTTGCATTATTGTTTAATTGCACAAAGTGGATTGAATTATAAAGCTGGAGAACCCTAACAGAGTTCTTTAATGTAACCCTCAATCAACAGCAATCTCTTTCAGTAGGGCTACAAAATAGTTTTTATCAAGTTACACCTTGAGAAAGGATGTTCAATCAATTATCATTTGAGTGCAATGTGTTATTTTTACCATTTAAATGCAAACTTATAAACGTAATTCATTTAGATTGTATGTTGTAAAATCCTTGTTTCTATAGCAGAATCAGAACAGTAAAGAAATCCTTAAAAGCCTTGCATTAACGTGACAGTCACGCCTGTGATTAATTTATGAACATGTTCTGCAGCTGCAGATAATCGTCATTTCCATGATGCCTTGCATAATGCTCCCTGGATTATTTCACCCTTTCAGATTTTTCCTCTACGAAGATCAGAGGAGGTATTTTGAAAAGCTGGCAATTTACTGCAACCGCTATGCCAGTCTCATCCCCATGTCCTTTGTGCTGGGTAAGTCTTTATAATCTTTGACACTGTTCAGACTCGGGGTTAGCTTTATGTGTGGCTCTAGCAACATGACACAAAACCTGGATCTCTGGGGAGCAGCTAGGCTTTGTGTCATTGCTGATGGTGGGGAATGTCAAGGTCTTACAACTTATTGATCATGTCAGACTTAATCAACACAACAAGTAATAAGTTGTTCAAGATGTACAATTAACATGATGTTTTCAATCAATGAAGGCACATTGGCTTCTTATTAAACAGTAAATCTTTTACACACATTTTTACATAAAAAAGCACATGAAATCTATGTAGGGAGTAAAAAATTAATCTCTAAGACTTGTCTTCGTATTTAACTTCCAGTGGTGGAAAGTAAGAAAGTAAATTTACTTGATTATTTTGCTTAAGCACTTTTTTCCAGTATCTTTACTTTACTTGAGTACATTTTTAGGGGGTATTTGTAACTTTCCCTCCATTACATTTCAAAGTTAAATATTGTGCTTTCTACTTTACTACGTTTGGAGGAAGCTGCTAGTTACTCCTTACTTTTGGCTCCTCTTAGCTTTCTAATCCACTGCTGCTGTTTTTCTTTCTGGAAATGCAATTTCAACATCTAAGACAGCAGCCCTTAGGACTGACTCTGTTTGCATGACGTTAAAGGAATGTAAGAAACTCAGGGCAGATATTATTTGTACTTTTAAAATGACTTCGTAATTTTAATAAGGTGTTGCCATGTGGCCAAGTTGTTGTGGTTTCTTTGCTGTTATAGATTCAACCTTAAACCTCTATTCCAAAAAGGAGAAAGAAGGAAAATCAAGACTGCTGTTTTACTTTTGGTTTGTTTTTAAATAAGAAATAATATTCAAAATATCTGTTGTTATTAAGGTTCCTTAAAATTACTCTGAAAATAGACAGAAATGTCTAAATTACATTTTTAAGTACTTAAAGGTATAGTGGAGGATTTTCTCGAATTTTTTAAAAGACACATGCACCTACCAAACCTAGCAAAAGACCAGGAATTGCTTCTAATGGAAACAACTACAGGGCATACAGCCCAGAAAACTGTTCAACAACCTCTGTATCTGTGCTTATGTTTGGAGGTTTCTACGTGACCCTAGTGGTGAACCGCTGGTGGAACCAGTACACCAGCATCCCGCTGCCCGACAGGCTCATGTGCGTCCTGTCCGGGGGCCTCCAGGGAAACGACGAGCGAGGTCGCTTGCTGAGACGAACTTTGATGCGCTATGCCAGCCTCTCAGCCCTGCTCATCCTCCGCTCTGTCAGCACCGCCGTCTTTAAACGGTTCCCCACCATGGACCATGTGGTGGAGGCTGGTGAGAGTGGGGTGATGGGAATGGTGGGGTCTGCACAGGGATTAGTCAGTGGTGTTTCAGACAGAAATGCACATCATGATTGTGTGCTTGTATCTTTTGTAATCACTAGACCCGTAAAGACAACAAAACAATCATTTATCATTTTATATATTAGAAGAAATACAGGGACAAAGTGATGCTTTTTCTTGATTCCAGTGAGGTATCCTTTTAGGTGAAAGAGAGAACACCAACTGAGAGACGAGCATCACTTGTTGTGTCTCTTGACAGCTAAAGAGAAGAGAAAGCTGCCAATGAAGCCAGAGCAACATCTTAGTTAGCATTGTGAGGGACCTGTTTCCTAGGTCACCAATGTTCTTCTGCTTGAGTGTTAATAAAAGACCTGAATATTCCAATGATATCAAATATAAATTGCATACTAAAACTCCCTAGAATACAGAGGTGTTGGTCAGCCAACTGGTGCAAATGTCACTTTGTTGTAACTTCCAACACCTATTATCTTTGGGTATTTTTCACCCCATTCTATATTTAACAATAATCCAAAATAGTTTGGAATTCTGTGCTTCATATTCTATAAGTTTTAATCATTTGTTAGGTAAATTGATTATCATGTCTTTTATTTAGGAAAAACATGCAGTCTGCTGTTTTAATGACAAAATCTCTAAGGTCTACATAATCCCAAGGATTGAAAAAACAGTTCTTGGGTTGACAAATTAAGAAGGTATTTAGGAGGATAAGTCACTAATTTCACTGGAGCACTTTAGAAAAGGATGTTACTAATGGGCAAAGGATCAAAAATCTTTGTGTGTTGTTTTGGACTTTCTTCTTAAATATGAAGCTTATTTTGGGTTACATTTCTAAAATGTTGAAAAATAATCTGTCATCCTATAACCAGTTTATACCTGTATAACTGTGTGGTTTAACCCATTATATTTATATTTGATCGTGCTACACATCTGTTCTATAAACCAGGGGTGTTTAGTAATTTTAAAACCAACACTGAAAGAAGCGGCTACAAATAGAGCTAAAAGGAGAGGCACCAGATGAAATGCATCAATTAGAAAAGCCTTTTTCTGTCATGATCAGTTTAAGGATTCGGACCCAAATGCAGAGATACAGTACCACTCAGGGACCACCAGTTTAACAGGTTTATTTGATGTAATGTGTACAGGAATTGGATCTGGAACTCAGTGGACTGGTGAACCGGAACTGGAAAGTCTGAAGGAGAGATCACAATGATCAGTTCAGGGACCATGGGAAAATTGACAGAGACTTGAATAGTGCTGGAGAGGGACTCACGTTTGAGGGGGCTCTTGTCAATCCTTGAATCCAGTCTGTGTGGTATTTTTCCAGAGAAGAGGGAACTCGTTGGAGAGCGGACAGGTAGACATACGTTGGACCCAGAGGAGTAATGGAGCGGACTGTCACTTGGATTTCCGATGGGACTTGAACGGCTCATGTGGATGTTTTCCCCTGCTCAGTGTGAACTCAGTTAATCCTTCCAGGGGGAGAAGGCCAGGCATTCAGTTACACAGAAGGGCTTCCTGTCGAAAGGCAAAGACAAAAACAATATTAGACTCAGAGAAACAAAGGCTCAGGTTAGACTCAGCTAATCTCAGCTTGGCTAGAGTACCCAAAACTGGCAAACACTCTGGCGTCGAGGTGGTGACAGCCCGCTGCTCAAATACTCCTCAGTGATGATCCAACAAGCCGCAGGTGTGCATGAGGGCCAACAAGGACAGGGCACCACCTGGTGGTGGAGAGAGGGAAACACACAAACAACCCACACAAACTGGATTCCTAACATTTTCTTATTCAAATGGTTCCAGATTTGGAAAAGCTTACCATCAGGAAAAAATAAAAAATAAAAAATCAGAATCCTCAACTGAAATATGTTTTCTGTAGATGTGATTATGCTTCATATTTGTAATAAAAGAAAACTAAATGTTTGATGATTTGATATTTATACATTTTCATAGGCTATAACTGGCTTTAAAAGCGGTAAAATGCTAAAAAAAAAAAAAAAAAAAGAATATATATATATGTGTATGTGTGTGTTTTTCAAGCAGTTTAAAAAAAATAAAACAGGCATTAAAAAAAAATTAAAGAGGAGTCACATTTTTCTATAAAATTAAAAACAGCAGGACAGCATTTCCATTATTTCATTGCAAAGACATAACAGTGTAGCATGTAAGTGAATTCAGCATAATAGTGGAGAAGTGTGTTGGAAAAGCACCAGTAGTATGTTGAACGGTGAGACGATTAGATGAGCTTCAGTATGTTAGAGTTGCTTGTTTCCTACATGGATAAAGTCTTTGTTGCTGGACATACAGTAAGAAGCAAATCCCAGGGAAATGTAAGCCTTAGACCTCAGCCAGTGCTTCCAGCCTAGGAACACCACTATTAAATCTTCTTCGCCATCGCCTTTCATCTCTTTTCTCAGTGAGCTATTAATGTATGCTGTAAAGTAAAAAGCAATTGATTGGTTTAAACAGAGACAAAGACCACCCTAGTTTTCCTTTGTGCAGGATTTATGTCCAGAGAAGAGAGAAAAAAGTTCGAGGGTCTCCATTCTCCTTACAACAAATACTGGATCCCATGTGTCTGGTTCACCAACCTGGCAGCTGTGGCCCGCTGTGAAGGCAGAATCAAAGATGATCACACATTCAAGCTTCTCCTAGAGGTGCAGCACAGCCACTTCATGTGGAAACATTACAACAAAGGCTTTGAATTGCAGAGCTTTTGCTTTTATCAGAGCAGAGATTTAGATTGTAATCTAACAGCTGGTGTCTGTCTGTGTGACGACAGGAGCTAAATGGTTTCAGAGGGAAGTGCAGCATGCTGTTTCATTATGACATGATCAGCGTGCCCCTCGTGTACACTCAGGTAAGATCACTCACTTGGTAACTGTTAGGTTTTACCACATGCAATGTATCTTCTTTGTTAGTTTCATTGCCTTTCTTTCTTCACAGACCTCTGTGTGTTACCTCGTTTTTCAGTTATAGACGTTCAATAAGTCTCAGTTTGTCCATTCTTCTTTGCAACATAGCTGAAATTGAAGCTAATACAGTAGGTTAAAGACCATCTGAAGACACCAATTTTCAAGCCTTGCCTCAGATGCTTAAATGGGTCTGTGTCTAGACTTTGACTGGGCCATTTTAAACAATGAATTTAGTCTAAGCAGAACTGTTTCATTGTACTGCCGTCAGGCAAAAAACTTGCAGATTTGAATCTGAGTTTGTAAAAAATGCTTCGTGAAACAGACCCCAGGTCTATTACAGCTGATAAAATGCATCTCCATAGCATACTAAACCTGTTGAGACTGAATTGCACATATAGGGTATTGCACCTGGAACAAAAAGTTCAGCTTTTGTCTCATCTGACTGATGCACATTCTTCTGCAGGTTTACTGCCCCTCCACAGGAATGTGGCAATTTTGATTAAGAATCCCTGTGTCTTTCGTTTAATAACCTTTTTTTGCCCACTCTTCCACGAATGCCAAAGTTGAGCACAGAATATCCCACCTGAGCTGTGGATCTCTGCAGCTCCTCCCAAATTACCAAAGTTGTCTTAACTGCTTCTTTGGTTTTTGTTGCATTTTATTTTATTTAAAATAAATAAACATGGGGATAATTGGACATCCATGCTTGTAATTTTTTTTTTTTAGTTATAAAGGAGGATGAGAGTCATGAATCTTTTCTTCTTTAACATTACTTGGAGTTAGTATGAATAGATTTGCAAAGTACTTTATCTCAAACACAGACTGGAGCTCTGTTAAAAAGAAGAAAAAAAATATTTTAATTCAAGTTGGTTTCTCTTCACAATTTTACTTTTATTATTATAAGTGTTATTAACGGAGGGTGTTCAAGGTGGCTCCTACTTTGTAAACAATGACATTTCAGCTCATTATCACACTTTTCACTATAGTTTTCACATTAAGAATAATTTTAAATCAGTTGTTTATTTGTATGATTTATTTCTTTTGAACTTATACAGCAATTTAGTAAGTAGGTACTCATCAACAATTTCACCTTATGATAGCCAAATATGTTCATAAGTTGTTAGCCCTGGCTTCAGTAAAATACGGATGGGGAAACATAAACTTTTTTCTATGCATATGAGGGGGATGTTTTCTTCTGGTGGCGATCCAATCCAAGTGAAGAGATTCATTGTTTCCAACAGCTTTTGTTGGTGTTGCTTAAGTGACATAGTAATGGCTTCAAGTGCAGGGCCAGGACCAGTAGCGCTGGTAGCATCCTGATCAGCAGCTTTCTGTCCTTTAGATGGCATTTTTGGGCTGCTTTATCTTAGAGGGACACATGGCTGTCAGGTACAGCTTATGAAAAATAAGAGCACGTTTAGGGCATGCATACTCTATTTAACTGCCAACCCGAAACCCATGGCAAAAATAAATTGTAACACAATTATTACACAAAAAAAAAACCCTGGTGCATCATTGCAGAAATCAGATATAAAAGCTGGACTTTAACACTGATCTGATGGATCTGTTGTCTCTCAGGTGGTGACTTTGGCAGTGTACAGTTTCTTCCTGGTGTGTCTGATCGGCCGTCAGTTCCTAGACCCGAGTCAGGGCTACCCGGGTCATGACCTGGACCTCTATGTGCCCACATTCACACTCCTGCAGTTCTTCTTTTACGCAGGGTGGCTCAAGGTCGTTATGAGGCTCCCTAGAGGTTTGCATTGTTTTGATGCGAGCAGAAAGCCTAGAACTTGATTTAAAAATATATATATATATTTTTTGCAGGTTGCGGAGCAGCTGATCAACCCTTTTGGAGAAGATGATGATGATTTTGAGACCAACTGGTTGATCGACAGAAACTTTCAGGTTTTCTATAACTAAATTTTCTTTAAAGATTTTCATATTGTCTAAACAAGATTTTTTGGCTAGCGACTTTAACTATGCTCCTTTAACTTTCCCACAATAATGTATTTATTCAGATTTATGGTAGAATGACTTTCAAGTAGTTTTACAATTAAACATCTATAAATCTATATTTAATCTCCCTGAAGTCAATACTAGATCCACCTCTTGTTGCTGTTATTAAGCTGACCTTTCCTGGTGGGTTTTACATCCAAAGGCTAAAATATTTGCCTTTATTTGTAAGATAGCTCTTAATAAGTTTCTCTTAACATCACATTTTCAGTCTGCATATAGGTCTCTCCATCAGCAACATCCCACAGCATGATACTGCCTCGGCCCTGTTTTAGCCTGTGGATGGTGTGCTCAATGTAATCTGCAGTATTACTTATTTAAAGGATGTCAACTTTGGCCAAAGATTATAGTCTCATCTGACCAGAGGGGCTTCTTACAGATAATTTTTGTGATGTTTTAGTTTTATGATTGCATATGGCTTTCCTTTAATATTTGCTTTTCTTCTTGCCACTCTGCCATAAAAGCCATATTTGAGGAAAGGACAGCAATTATTTCTCCTGCTGACAGGTGCATAGTTGGCATTACGTTTTGTGTGCAGGTTTCCATGATGGCTGTGGATGAGATGTACGGAGATCTGCCGGTGATGGAGCGAGACCGTTACTGGAACGACTCCAACCCCCGCCCCCCGTACACGGCGGCTACGCTTTTTGTCCTCCGCAAACCCTCCTTTCAGGGCTCCACCTTCGACATGGCGTGAGTCTCTCTGTGTCTCCTCATGGGGCAATGACATCCTGCTTCTGAATCCCCTCATGGTTGTTTAAAACACAGACATTTTTCTCTTTTTTTAAGTTTGAGAGAAAGATGAAACCTTCGTTTAAATGAAGCTTGTGGATTCTGGTGATTTTCAGACATATTAAACAATCTATTACAGAGATAATCAGAATTTTCTTGACAGGATCCCAAAGGAGGAGATGCACTTTCAGCCATTGGAGGACATAGCTGAGAATCTGGAGGAATCAAACAGCCGCCACCCCAACATGGCTCTCTTTAATCGACTTCTCAATGTGGCTCCGTCCCCATCTGGCTTCATGGGAGGAGCTCTGCGCCGCACCTCGGCTCAGCTCCAGCGGCTCTACCACTCACCCAGCACAGACAGGTGCTCCAGTGATGATGAAGAGGAGGATGAAGAGAAAAGCTGTAAAATAGGCAAAGGAGGATCACTGCCATCAGGGCTGGGCCAGGACCCCCAGAGCACCGTCTGCAGCTTCAGGGAGGAGAAGAGTACAAGGACTCCGCTGGTGGATGTTGAGTTTGGTGAGGATCAGGAAAGAGCAGGTGAAAGCAGGGATGTAACATCAGTTAAAGGGGTTCAGAGGGCCGAAGAGGAACCAGAGAAGACTTCCAGAGCTCTGGGCTCATCGCTTGCTCCTCCACCTCGGTCCTCCAGAGATACATCAGCTCCTCCTGCCTCTGCCTTTACTTTCACCTCACGCCCCCTTTCAGCTTTCCTTTTTCCCTCTACTGCCCAGTCAGGTCTGGAACACTGCAGCTCACAGCCAGCAATCAGTCTTCCTAAGGCTACGTCCGGCATTCCTAAACCACCTTCCACTGGAAACCAAATGTCCCTCCTCGCTGTGCCGTCTTACGTCGAGCCTCAGCGTTTGCGCAGTGTGAGCGTAGGCTCTGAGTTCACAGCATCCTGAAGTCAGCAAGCTGGGATATTCACCCAAACCTTGGTTATCTGAGCCCACAGAGGTTTTATTCAATAGGTATAACAAATCACTGCTGTCGAACTTGCTGCTGCTCTTGATCCTCCTCCTTAAGGACCACATAGCTGGAGCTTAAATTAATTAGGTTATATCATAATAGATTCCTTGATTTCTTCCCCCCTAACGCTAGTTTTTATGCTAATTTATAGTACCAACACTAAAATCTTCTATAATATTTCTAAAGGAACTCTGTCATTTTGTTAAATCCATTTGTTTGCTGTTTATGTACAACAAACTAATTTGCTGCATATGCATGTAAAAAAATGCACAGAGTTGAAAATTTTGAAAAATAAAAACACATGTTTGTATTCAGCATTCTTTACACTGATGCAACAAAAATAAAAACTGTCCTCATAAGCCACATAATTAATAGGACCCACTGTTTAATTTAACCTCTGCATAAATATAATTGTTATATGAAGGCCTTAGAGTTTTTGTTAGATGGCTTTAGTGAACAAACAGCATTATGAAGACCAGGAGACACAGCTGACAGGTCAGGGAGAAAGTCTACGAGAAGTTTTACTATAGATATCATCCCAAGCTGTGAACGACTTGCAAAGCTCTGCCCATTTCTGGGGATGAACATGGAGATCTAGCAAGGAGACTGTATGGTAGCTTTGGAGGAGCTGCAAAGGACTGTTCAGAATCAGGTATCTGTCAACAGGAAAATTATTATAACTGATAATATCTTGAAGCAATGAGGAGGAAATCAGGCTAAAGAAAGCATTTGGAAGTTCTGTTTCACTATAACTATCACATAAAACACTAACAACAGGAATATTTCCCTGAATATATCTTTAGGAATCTCAAAACATCCATCCATCCATCCATTTTCTGACATGCTTAATCCCGAGTGGGGTCGTAAGGAGTGCTGGTGCCTTTCTCCAGCTGTCAATGGGCGAGAAACGAGGTACACCCTGGACAGGTCGCCAGTTCTTGCAGAAAGACCCTGGCCCAGGAATCGAACCCAGAACCTTCTTGCTGCAAGGCAGCAGTGTTACCCACTTCAACACTGTGCACCCCCCCGTCAAACAATTCCACTGAAAATATTTCAAAAATGACGATGAAATAAATCTATCAATATAGTAACTGATGTTTTACTGCTGGCAGTGGGTAGCACTGTTGCCTTTCAGCAAGAAGATTGTGGGTTTGATTCCCGGTCTGGGGTCTTTCTGCATGATGTTTGCATGTTCTCCTTGTGCATACATGGGTTTTCCACCACGGGAGAAGATGGATGGATGGATATTATAATGCACTACTTTGAAAACAAAGTCCAGTAAATTGCTTTTTTAAATTTTTATTTTATTTTACTATTTTGGAATAATAATGACCTGGATGACTGAGAATCTTCACCAGTATATATGTTGTACTGCCAACATTAAATATGGGCATCACATGTATTTATTTCATTGCTTTTAATATTTTAAAGAGCTGCAAGCTCTTTAAGATGATTTTTACATATGAAAATACTCTGTTTAAAAACCTACAGACATCTAATAGGATTCCCTTTACCAAGAGTCACCAGCAGGGGGAGATAACAGTCAACAAAAAACAGGCCTGCAGTTCATATTTAATACAGAGAGCCTCTCCTGTTCATCAGAAGGCTGTTACTGGGGGTCCATGGTGACAGAGCTGGTCCTCCTGGCCTGGATGGAGCGTCTCTGCTTGGCCAGAAAAGACTGAGGGAGACCTGCAGCATCAGAGTCCTTCTGAGAAAGGCTTTGCTGCTGCAGATGCAAACAACAAATAACAAAATGGTCTGTTCCAAATTTTTGGTTAACCTAAAAGAGACAATTCACAAGTCTTACTTTACTGCTAATAGACTAGAGCACATCTCTTTACTCATATTGAAGGCCTGGCTTTGAGCCTTATCAGCTCTATGACTAAACAAGTTGTGTAATAAACCTGGAAAAAAAGAGGGAAGACAACAGTGGTGTAAACCAAGACAATGAAGACTAGGTGGAACAAAACAGGATCTAGTAAAAGTCCCCAGAATATTTAGTGGCCATAAAGGGAGAACTGGGATTGTTCGATTACAAGTGGTAAAATAATAGTGAAGCAATGAAAATCACGACAACGCTGTAAAACAACCACTAAAGAAAGATTTAATATCAATACAATAATGTAACCCTCACACCCACATGTTTGATTCATAGAAACAAAACTGAGCAGATAGTGTTAGACTCCCACAGACCTTTTCAGTTCTGTTCTCCCTAGTTCTATAAATAACACTGATTTAAAGCTCTATGTATTTTTTTCTTATCAATTTTGCCTCTCACCATGTTTTGCCACGCAGCTACAGTACGATCAGAATTTCCTCTTCATCCTGTCTGGATCTGATTATCTCACGCCGAGAGTCAAGTGGCTGCAACAGTTAGAAAATATATTTTAAAGCTGACATAGCGTCCTATTTCAGGTAATGTTGCATCAAAACAACTAACTCACCTCTGAGGCTGCAGGTTTCAGGATATCAGACTGACAAGCTTTATTATTGCTGCTCATTTTTCACTCAAATCCAAGCAGAGTTTGCCCCCCTTCCCCAAAAAACCCCCCAAAACACGCGTGACCGACCAGTTTGGACAGCAGCATCCCTTTGACCTGACCTGTTTGCAGATCAGCGCTGCTCCCGGCTGCATTTTTGCAGCAGAGTCCACTTTTTTTGTTGTGCCACTGATAGAGAACAATATGAAGAGGTGCTGCAGGCCCAAACGCCTCCTAATCACAGTCAAAGACACCATCCTGCTGACTCTGGCACATTCACTGTTGGGCAGTCAGTCACCAGGCAGGAGATTAGTGGGTAAGTTCCATGATACAATGCAATTATCTTGAAAGCAGATACTGCTAATTATATTCTTGTTTAAATGCCGGGCAGGGCAGTGTCTGTAGGCAGCAAATTCTGGAATTTTCTTATAAACAGATAAGCAGTTATATATAAAATTATATCAAGACACTTTGTTTTACTTTTTGTTAATGATTTTGTAGTTTTTTTTTTTGCATGTTAGAGACATTGCCTTTAACAAATGTAATTCAGAGGTTTTTAACTCTTGCATATTCATTTCAAGAGCATGAAATATTAACCTGAAGTGTACAAATTACATATTAAATATTCTACTGTGTCATATTTATTGAACAAAAATGCATCAAATGATATATCATGTTAATGGAAATGCATAGATTCTTAGTAAGAGGTTTTGATTTATTTCTACCTGTTTTTAGTTCTGATACAGTTATCCTCCTCCTGAAGGATGTTTTGGTATTGGTGAGTATCTGCCTGCTTATAGTGAACATATGGGATAAAATCACAGTTTTAAAACTGAGAGGAACATATATTAGGATAGATAAAGGATTTGCTGTAAGTGACATGAGTCAGTTTGCCACCTATTGTGGCACTGCGGTGCTAATTTCAGAATATCATACCAGTTTAATCCAACAGTGTGTTTGGATTTTAAGACCCTCTTCTTTTGGATCAGATATGTTTAAGGATTGCACAATGTTAACATTCTCTTGTTTGCAGCATGTCTTTCATAAAAAAGAAAATAATAATAAAGGATTAAGCAGTGTCCTTTGTAATGAACCATGTGATGCAAAGTTGCTCTGATTAAAAAGCAGCATTTGTCACTATTCCTTTAACCTTAAACTGGGAATTTGGAAATATTAGGAGAAACAAGATAGCATATCATCAGCCTCTATAGCTAAAACTTTACAGCACTTCTCAATGCTTCTTTTGTCTCCACATTTTGATCCCAATGTGTGAATGGAAATAGAGCAGCATCCCCCTGTCCATAGGGCCCAACATACATGTTTTATCTTTACACATCTTTTGCATTGCTGCCAACTTTACACCAAACCTTGGAGTGAGATTTTAAAATAGTTTGAACAGGAAACCCTTGTCAGGGTTAGATAGAAAGGCTCTGAGGATAGCTGCAGCTATAGGTTGGAGGTTTTCAGAGGATTTAACTGAAACTAAGTGGCAAAATGTTGAATTTTTATATTGCAGTAAATGTCACTGTTATATGTTACTGAATAACAGTAGTGATCTGCGGTATGTGGAAGATTTTCACACAATATACAATACTTTTTATACTAAAATACTTCCATTTGCTGTGAACTAAGAATTTCTCAGCTGTGATTATTAATAATTCTCTGCAGTTCAAGTAAAATAAATAATGGGAAACAGATTAGTTAATACTGGATTATTGGCACTAATACAGGAACCAGTTCAACCGAATCCCATGCAAACTAAACTGTATGAATATCTGGTAATACGCTAATGATTAAAAATCTCATTATCTTATTAGATTTTTACAATTGACAATTTAGACCTTCTAGGAGGCTGTAGATTCTATAAAAATCCACCACGACACAAAACAGCATTTCTGCGGTTGTTTCATTTTGGTAGATGTGATGTAACTTAAGTTTTTTAACATAACTAATGAACCAAAATATGGATAAATGAATAAGATAAGTAATAATAAAATGAGAACATCCCTCTGGTTCCTCTTATATCATTCCTGGATAACTGAGTTGTTCTGCACATCCTCTCTGTATGTGGTTGATCTTTTCTTGGGTGGCTGACCTTTTTAAAAATAAAATGCGATGGTTCTTGTTCTTTTTTTGCAAACCTATGGGTTTGTGAGACATAGCTGAAAGCTTTAAAAATTTAGATTTTGGTTCCTTTAATTAGTCCTAGAAAACAATGGGAGATTATTCAACTAGACTGAGCAATAATTATTTAACTTGGAGCCAAACATGGACTAAAACTTGGACTAAATCATGTGGCTTAACTAGAGCTAAGAAAGAGTAAATTTCACTAAAAAACCTCTAGGTGTAGAGAAAATTAATTGTTTGAAGGGATCTTACACTCTATCTCCACATTGATGATTTATTTATTTATTTATGTATTTTATTCATATTTACTCAAGTGCTAGATTGCTTCAAATCTTCATTAATTTACAAAGTGAATTATCTTAGTCCAGATAAGATAAGATAAAATTCAATGACATAGCTCTTAATAACTGCTCAGAAATACCAATCTTTTTTCAATATCTGGCTCAGGTCCAGCTCCACTACTGACAGCACAGGTAATAGTTGGACTGCTGCAAAAATACTGACTGGAAATGAACCTGGCATGTCTTCATATGCACTGCCACTGAAAGAAATAATGCAACCGCTTTTGGTATTTACTTAACCATATTTAGTTACTGTAACAGACTTGCTATATGTTCTACCCTGCTAACATGAAACAATTGTGTTAAAGTAACTAAATATGA